TTTTTTTGGACAATGATCTTACTCCGTATCCCTCTTGCCCATCTAATCAAATTTCTAATTTATTTTTCAACCAGTATAATTACTGACAGAAACCAAGAGCCGGATAAGTTCTAACTTGTCCAGCAACAATTTTTGCCGCACAGGCATTAGTTTATACATGAAAAGAAGACTGAAATGATGCATGGAAAGCAATGAAATGGTACAAAAATTTTGGCAGAGGGAAAATTCATTACGTTTCACCAATGAAACATTAAAAACTGCTATTATTTTGCTTTTGCCGCAGCAGCCGCTTTTTTCAGTTGAACACCGTAGTTATAAACATTGGCAATATTAACTTCTGTTGTGGTTATTTGATCTCTTACAAAATCCAATTCCTTACTGATTTCGTTTACGACCGCGGTTGCTAAAATAATTACTGTGAATAAAAAAAGAACAAACAGAAAATATTTATTCCAACCAAAGTTGAGATAAAAAAGCTTAAAAATATCTCGGGTGATTTTTAGTCTACTAATTTTCAACATTTCTATTTCGTTAAATTCACCTCTACATGAATCCTCATCTTCCATTAAAACTTCAATCAACCGTTGTGTGAACTAAAATATACAGTAAATCAGAAACCTTGATCAAAATTTTTCTGCAGAATGGCTCGTGCTTCGTCAAGACGGTATTCAACCATAACATTCGCACCAAGCCAAAGATATACCTGTAAAAAGTGATGGAAATAAGAGTTTAAAAAGCCAAACAACGTGAAAAACTAAGAAATTAATGGTACAATAGAAAAAGAGTGAACGGGAGGTCGGGCGACGGCACTATCTAAACTGAATTTCTGATAGCTATATTAAAAATATAACTGTCATGTAACTCATGATACTGATTTTAAGCAAAAAGAGAGAATCTTCGAAGACTTGCAGTACTACACCAACCAAACCAAATTATTTATAATCAAATATTTAAAAGACTACTCCAAAAAATACATGGACATAGAAAAAAACATAAACAGAAGTAAGGAAAATATGACCAAACCATCAATAGACACAAACCTTTTTAGGGTCGTCTACTCTAACTCGACTGTAAACCTGTTCACTAAGCATATGAGTAACTTCTAAAGGATCTTTCTGTTCCTAAAAAACATTTGGAGGGAGAGTGATGAGAACCAAAACTAATTTGAAAAAAGCAACTGCTTTTTTTAAGCCGCTACTCTATTCATATTATAACTTTAAAAACCAACTTACAACTCTTTCCTCCAGAAGGGACAAAATGTCTAAAGACTGTTGCAAATCTGGAAGTTTTGAAGACATCCTTAAAAAAAATAACTGCAACACGGTCAAAAACAGTATATGTTTTTTGCCAAAAGCAGGGGCAGCAGAAACAAAATCCTTCTCAGGAACCGTTTATCAGACCACCACAATACTGTACCCAACCTTCTTCACCAGAAATGATTGGAAAAGGAGAAACGCGGATATAAAAAAAGTATAAAAAGTAATGAGAAATTTAAAACAAAACGCTCTTCAAACAGTTTACTACCTAACTTAAAACCAACCTCACACCGCGCACTTTACTCCTGTGTGCTTTTTCAAGTGATATTTTTATTGCCCTGCTGCCCCTGGCAACAATGCTGTAGGTGAACGTTGAAAATTAAGTTACAAGCGGCGTTTGCAAACTGAAGAGAATTGAACTTAATCTTCAAATGATATTCGTGCTACCTTGCCTTCTGCGCAAGCACCTGTTCTTCAACAGTTTTGTACTTCAAGTACAACTCATCCAAGCGCTTTAATCCTTCCTCGACAGTTATATCGCCCTCCTTTTTTAAGTAGACGGCAACGTCATCCTAAAAAATGTGTTAAATACATGTAAATCTACCTCCAAGATCACTTCATACAGAACACCCACCATTACTGCTGCGGCTGGGATACCGCGTTTCGAAACCTCATTCTCCTCCATTAATTTGCCCAAGTCAGGGTATTGCACTAAATCAGTATCATGATTGAAACACGATGTTAAAAAAGCTATTAAGGTCTATAAACACTCGTTCAAAAAATCTAAAATTTCTTTTTTTTCAAACTCATTTCCTTAACATCCACGTGCTTCTGAACTGTGAAGAAAACGTTCAGTCATTTACTTCAAACCGCCATCCCAAGTATTCACCTGCGTTCAAGAAACGCAACTAGAAAATTCCGGAACACGAAACTAAACAGAGACTTCACAAAGAGAATTAATTCATTGAACACGCAGAAAGCATAAACACATTTTTACAAACATTCAAACACTATACAGCAAGCCGAAAAAATAAGCCGAAGTCTTAACATCTAATATGCAAAAGTATACACTTCACACTAATCTATTCGGCACACTTACAGTGATGATGGAAAAAGAAACATGAAATCAGATGCCAGTACGCTACTCAAAATGCAAACCACAAGTACTACTGGCAACTGCTGACAAGTTTAAGCACAGTTACAGGCTGATGTTAAATAAATGCCAAAGATCAGTTATTTAGACACCGGCATTAAACAGTCAGGAAAGACTAATCCAACGATCTCCAGTTAAATTTAACTCATGATCATGCATTAAACCCATTACATTATCACCGTCTCTGAAACGATGACAAGATTCGAGATCAGAGAAACCCATCAATTAAAAAAATTCACTGTTCGTTGAATGAGGTATCAGGAGAAGGCTGATTTGGCAATTCGGCAGGATGGACGTCCATGTTTTGGATGAATGGAGAGGATGAGAGTGTGTTACCAAGACCATATAAATGTCCCTCAACGTTTGCGGCTACCTAATTAAGCAGAGTAAAATTAATCACTCAAATTACTCTACGGCATAATAATTTACAGGTATTTGCTTGAAAATTTTTTAAGAAGAATTATAGAGCAATTAGTAACATAACAAAAAGCAATACTTCTCTAGAAAAGTTTTAGATAAGTCGAGAACCAAAAAATGCCACTTAAGGGGGGAGAAAAAGATGTAATAAGAAACCTGATCCCAATTGCCTTTGAAAAATCGTTCTTTAATTCTAAAAAAAGTCTGAGCGGTCAATAACGAATCCGATCCAGCTTGGTGCTTTTGTCCATACCGAACAACTTGTAACTGATCAGCGACCTGTAAAACGACAATAAATAATCTAACTTCAATCAAGGAACAAAAACAGCACCTCCTGCAGACCGCCTTTCAGCTTAGCATTCATCGGTCCTGGTTGCTTCATGAGCATTTTGATGTCATAACTTCTGGGGAAGAGCGTTTTATGGTATTGAAAAAACTGAGATTCTTCCTTAGGTAGTTCTTGTAACATAATTGTGCGCATTAAGTAACCAAAATCGTATCCGCTGTGGAATGTTATCCAAGTTATATGGTCATCAACAATTAATCCTGAGGTGGTCAACAACTCACCAAAATCGGCCATTTTTATCCCTTCTACCTAAAATGGCATTAGAAGAAGTGGTTAGTTGTACAAAACAGAACCTGAAAGAACTAAAACTAAAGAAGGAGGTTGCAACAAGAAAGACAGATGTTCAGTCAGATACAGAACAGGAAGTTTCTGTAAAGATTTCAGAAACATAATTCTGACAACAAATTTAAAAATGAACATATTAAGCAACACTTACAACATGTCTATTAAAATCAATTCCAGCTTTTGTCAAGAGGTCAACGCTATCTTCAGAATACATGTCGTCATTCAGCGAGAACTGGAAGTTAAACTGCCAAACATCACCAGTTGGTGGCAGCTGACCCTCCTTATTCAAAATGGTAAACCCCACTTGGATGAGTTTTAGCATATTTACATTGCAGGAAACCTTTAAAAAAGATGAGATGTGCAAACCTTAAAACGCAAGTAAAAGTTGCAAACATCATTCACTAATCAAAAAAAGAGGTTTGCTTATGAAAAAATCTGTTTACTCTCTGGAAAAATTGTCATTATCACAAAAAACTGTAACAAATTTAGGGCACACTTCAACGTCTTAATTAATTAAGGTGAGCACGTTGATTTACCTGTTGGTAATTGAAATCTTCTTTACTTTTGAACTGCCCTAAAGGAGTGGCAACAACTCCAGGAAACTCAGTATCCATCGCTACAAATGGGTAATCGACTATCAATTCCCGAATGCAGGCAAATTCCTAAATTCATTATAGAATCCTACAAAGAACTATACGAAGATCTTGAGATATAGTTTAAGTCACAGGCCTTCTCTGTTAAAAAACCTCACCTCCTCCAAATTGTTTGCCCATACATCACGGATCTTTACTTCAGGATTTCCCATGATGCAGAGGAACACTTAGTGCGTCCTCCGTAAACCTATATCTAAACATTATTAATATTATAAATAAAGAAGCAATGTAAAAAATCGAAAAGCAAGTAATTCGATAAAATGCAGAGGCACCTTAGAGTAAGAAAGTTTAAAG